GTATAAATTAACGACCTTTGAATATCTGCCAAAAAAAAAAAAAAAAAAAAACTGAGTAAACATTTTCTGTTTCAGGCCCAAACCATGATGATACCACCACTGTGACTGACAAATAAGATTTTATTTTGGTGCATTATTGGGTTAGTTTCCTTCTCTGAACACAAATCTTAACTTGGTCTGACAAATAATGCCACTGTACTGTAAATTAAAGTGGATTTTATTCAATGAAGGGGAAAAAAAACAAAAAGACCTTCAGGAAAATACAGCAATTCTCATAATTCACACAGAGAGGACATAAATTAGAGGCGTGGAAAAGAGAGACATTTATGGGGAAACATTACCTGGGTGGTGGGAAACATTTGCTGCCACAGGGACAGGGGCCCGCTGTGGACTTACTGAGCAAAAGTGGATTATCTCCGCACGAAAAAATAAATGTCTAAATGATAGTACAAAAAAAGGGTAGAATACAAAATACAAAAACAGTGGTGGGGGTGGGGGAGAGAAACTGCCCTCAAAATAAACCATAAATATTAATATCGACGCACATTGGTGTAACAAAACAATTGTTTCTGTAAACATTTTGAACATAAGGTGTGCATTAGAATATAAAAACCACTGCAGTTGCATACCTGTCTGAAAGAAAACACAATAAAAAAAAAAACTCAATAAAAATTGCAGACTAAAAACTTGATTTTTATAAGAATGCTGCTTAGTTCACTACGTCTGAAGAGGTTCTCTAACACGGTAAAGGTGAGGCGTGTCGTTTAGATCCACTTTCAGACAGCGAAGAGTTAAAACGTAGCTGATTGCTACAGATCACATTGGATTGAAATGGTCTAAAATGTGGCGATCAGGCCTTGCTTTGTCATTTAGGTGATATTTTAAAAAGAGAGAGAGAGAATACTCAAGGATAGTTAAGGTCGGGTGTCTTTGACTGGACTGGGTTTTGTAAACTACACCAAGTGTCAAAAAAGAAGAGGTCCAACGTTGAGCCATGAGGCTGTTTGAGACTAAAGTGTTCCTACAGTACACCACATCCAAATGTCTTCACTTTTGGATTTTGCAAAAAAAAAAACAAAAAAAAAACGTTTTAATCATCTAGACCCTTCTAAGGCAACAGTTTAGCTACACGTTACGCAAAGAAAAAGAAAAAAAAAAACTCCTTCAGACCTGATTGATGACAGATTGTGCAGAGGAGAAAAAAAAGAAAAAGTTATTTGATCCTCTGGTTGGTGAGATCCAAACACCATGCTACCTTAATGGCCGTCAGCTAATTCACAGTTTGTCCTAATAAGAGCTAATGTTAAAGGAAAAAAAAATCCAGGCTGATAAATCTCACATTTCTCTAGTTGTGTATTTGCAGAAAAACACCAACACCGTGACAGAATTAAAGCCCTACAAACAATAAAAAAAAAAGTTTTTTCTTCCTTCGCAGCTCGTCTCGTGTTGCGGCTTATTCATTATGCATCAAGAGTTACAGTGTATTAAAAAAAAAACAAGGTTCAATTTTGTTTTTAACACAAAAAGATGTCATGCTGTCGTCAATAGGAGATGCAAAACTTCCCGCCCCGAGAGGCGGGGATTCTGGGAAAACCTGCGGAGATTTGAAGTTCGTACGAGCTGACGTGCAGCACCCCGTGGTTAGCGGACAAATCACAAATCAAGACGGTCCCTTAAAAAAAAATAAGAGGAGTCTTTGCTTTAGGGCGGTGAAGGCAGAAGAAGTGAAGACACGGAGGCAGATTTACACATCAAGCACCAATCGGGTGGCAGCGGGCGGYGGGGGTGGTGAACTAAGCGTTGTCGCGACACGCTTTGATGTGAAGACCTGGACAGGGCCGGAACTAAACACAGCTACGCTCACGTTGTGGCACGTCAAGTAATTAGTCATCCCCCCCGCCTTGATTCAGCTGTTTGAACAAACACGCTTTGTTATTCACATACAGGATGCAACGCTTTGTTTTTTTTTTTTTTTTCTTTTTAACTATGACACAAAGATCAACAGACACCACACCCCCTCAGATAACACCGAAGAGGGGGGGGAGGTCGGCTCAAAGGGTCGGGCACAGAAAAGAACGGARCGCGCCTCTGTCCGTTCTGAACTTGTTTTGTGGTGATTACAGTCCRGTCTGGGGTTTGTTCACCCTGAGCGCAGGCTCAAAGGCTCATCACTGCGTCGTCTACCAGCTCATCAGGGAGGAGCGTCCCAGGGTCATAAAATACACCTGGCTGGCCCCTCCTTGGCGCACAGAAGCAAAGAAGACCTGCAGAGCAGAGGAACAGAGAAAAATGTGTATCTGTTGCCAAGAAAGAAGGTGAAAGTGATCCAACAACAACGAACACCCTCACCTTGTCGTTCCTCTCACAAAGGAATTTGAGTCTCTGGGCTCTTTTGTGCATAAAGACCCCGTCCAGATGTCCTGTCTCCACCGAGCGRATCTCTATGGCCTTCTCACCCCAGCCCATGATCTGGTTCGACCTAATGTAGGCTGCAGCCGGGCGAGACAACACGTCACTGCGTGAGCTAGCAGTGCTCGTACAGTTAGCTTCTGATCAGAGACGCCTGCTCACCCACTGAAGTCGGCATTTCTCCCCACTGCAGCACCACGTCCTTGGTGATCCGTCCGTAGGTGTTGACGTAGACGCCCTCGTCCTCGTAGCACACCAGCAGCTCGATCCCGTCAGTGTTGGGGAGGATGATAATGGCGTGGCACTGGATGCTCGTCTGGATCTGGAGGGGGGAAAAAAAGAGTTTAGGGAGTGAAGAGGACAAAAAAAGGTGAGRTCCAAGGAGGTTCTATAGAACAGCTGATGTGCTCAGAAACCCTGTGACCGTGTGATCGGCTGGTGAAGCTAACGGCTAACGCTAAACGGTCAAGAGTCTGGTTTTCCCATTACTGTACATGTTGGTGACAGAGCAGAAAAAAACGAATGACGATGTAGAAATCATAAAAACTATTAATAATGAATAATATTAATCCAATTATTATTAATATTTTACAGTTTATATAATCTATCTAATGTTTAAATAATGTCAGAAAAGCTGTTTGTGTTATGGATTTATTAACAGAAGATAAACAGGAAAACGTCTCATTTTACAACACAAGTCAGCTGATTTGATCTTATTTAGCTCAATGTGATCTGAGCAGAACATAATGTAACAGTAGTGCTGGGCGGTATACCGTTTTGTACCGAAAACCGGTTTTTATTTTTGTTATATGAATTTTCAGTACACCGGTTTTTATAAACCTTGGAACGTGCGCGCCAAAGTCCTGTTTCATATTGGACCTTTTTCATTGCTACACCGCTGAATGCATGGGCAGCAGTAGCGAGTGTTGTGGAGGAGGGTGAGAGTGTGAAAAGC